TAGAAGTAACCAGCTTCTTAACTTTTTCATTAATTTTTTTATCTTCATTTTTATCAGAAAAACCCTGCACTTTAAATGGTGAATCCATAAATGTACATAATAACAATGTGCCACTCTGTTCTATCCCTTTAATTTTTTTTGCTAAACCCGATATTAGTAATTGTACTACGTCGGATACTATGGATGTAAGGTTTGCTAAACCCAATTGCTAAATTTACCGTTTGCTACAATTTTATTGCAAGATTCTTGCAGGCAGCGTACCATTAAAATCACTGAACTACCCTTCAAGTATTTTTGGTCACTCATTGTACTTCTTATGTCTTTAAACGGCCGTAAAATTTGGGAAAGCTGAGAACAAATAATCCAGTGTTCTTTATTTAGATTTGGTCTAAGTCTGTATTATTTAATACCGATGTGGAACGGATTGCCTCTTCTAACTCGGTCATTTTTTTTAACATGTAGTAGGTGAAGTTCTACCTAGTTTCCACGTCTTGGATTGGCCGTTTGGGAACTTGGTTATGTTGTAATTAATACTTTAAAAGCCTTTCTGAAGATAAGGTACTTTTTTTAAATGTGTTTTTTGCAGAATTGTCAAAAATAGGACTTTTTATTTTATCTATTATCAAATCAGTTTTGACATAACATTCCTGATGTAATAAACCTGACAGTTTTTCTTGTTGGCAGTTTATATCCAGGAATCCACCCTGCAAACTTTTTAAAAGCTGGTTCTTCACCTATGGAAAACGGATAAAACGAGTCTTTGCATAAGTTTAGTGAATCTTGAAAATCAACCAGTACAAGAAAAAGAAACTGATAAAGATAACTTAAATCCATGGTGTATTTTTGATGAATTAATTGGACGTGACTCATCTAAACGTACACATGTATCGAGAGATATAAAAGAAGTCGACATGTATTTGTCTGATGATATATTACCCACAAAAAATTTCGAATGGAGATTGGAACTGTCCATTACCGTGGTGGAAAAACCATCGTCATGTATATCCTAACTTAATCACTATATTCATAAAATATTGTAGTATTGTAACAAAATCTTTTCCTTGTGAACACATGTTTAAAATCTGGTTTAATTTTAAATAAAAGAAGAACACGGTTAACAAGAAAAGTGGAAAAACTTGTTTTTAAATGTCAATTTAGACGATTCGCGATTTAATAATGTGTAATGTAAATAATGTAAGTACTATTTGTATTGTTTAATTTATTTTTCAAGTTATAAGAAATATATCCTTTGTTATGTTCTTTCACTTCAATACTTATACACATAAATGATAATAGCCAATATGTTTGTGTACTCGCTAATTTGAATACTGGTAAACAATCAACTAGTTACAGTTTACGAAAAACGGTTCCGATAAAAATTTAAAAAACGAGAGGATTCACCTCTAGTTTTTTAGGTATATTAGGATCGGAACCAGAGAATATGTAAAATATCTCTGATCGAAACTATTCGTCTCACGAATGAGCAATGAGTGTTATAAATATTTATGGAGGGGTGACCAAGGGGAAATATAATTGTTATCTTTGTCTATTCGCTAAAAATATGATTTTATATCTGCGTTAGATCCTGTTAAATTTTACCATACCGACCATAAACTTTTACCTACACTGTATATGATTTTTAGCAACGTTTTTTGTGTGACATTAGACTGATCGTTTGATAATACATCCATACTACATTCTTTGGCATTTGCTTTCTTTGGTAGACAAATAAATGTTAATGTCAGCATTTCACGTGGAATGATTCCTGTGGAATAGAGTGTGTAGTTGGACTAAAAGATCTGTTTTTTTCATTCGCCAGTTTTAGCAATTCACTTGGTATTTTATCTGAACCAGCAGCTTTATTATTTTTCATGGACTTTACTGCATTCATAACTTCCGACTTTGTTATTTCGGGTCCCTCGTCTTTACTCTGATTATCTTCTTATATATTTTCCTGTCTCTGATCATGGAATAATTCCTCTATATATTCTTTCCATCTTCCTAATTTTTGTTCCGTCTCCACTAAAATGTTTCCTTGTTTGTCCAATAGTATGCTTAAGGTTTTTTGTTTTGCTACCCCAGCTAATTCTTTAACTTTCTTATGGAGATTGAAGTCAATAGTATACAAAATTTTAATGCAAAAATAATGATATCAGTGTTAATCAGTGTTAATAATCTTAGGCCTTATGCAAGCTCATTGTCAACATTTTATTGTGGTAGTTTGTGTTTTTCTTTCTTCTTTAAGAGCAGCTTGTAATAGCTGTACGGTGTTTTGTGGATTATCCCAGCGAGGTCTAATTCTTTTTTAAGCATATCTCACAAATGCTTTTTAAGGTAAAGGTAAAGTGAGCAAGCAGGTCACTACAGAATAGCAGTATTTTCTGTTTCAAGGAAGCCTTTAGTGATACTCCTGGTGTGTGGTGGTGCATTAATGCATGAAAATTAAATATTTTCCCACTGCATCTTTTCAGAGTCTAATTAGAGGTTCTAGAACTAAATTAACATACCTTTGAACTATTAAAGTTGGTTGAATGAAAATTAAAGAAGTTTTTTACTGACCGTATTACTTCCCCAGAACATAACACTTCCTTCTTTAGGTATGTTAACAGATCTGGCTGTTTTCATTCTTGCTTGTCTTCCTCGCCCTCTAAGTACACGAATTCACCGGTGATATGATTTTACACAAATCCTGGTTTCGTCTGAAAGGGCGTAGGAAATTTCGACACTAAGCCGGTAGCGACTAAAATTTAATGGCAATCTTCGACACCATCCCCAATTCCCGTTTTTATCTTAAAGTATATTCGACACCAAATAAATATAGCTGCGACATAAATAAAATACCATAATTAATTTATTTATTTATTTTAATAAAAGTAATGTGCATTTTATTTCTTTATAACTGTAATAATATCTAAATATAATACAACTAGTACCTACAATATACTTGTATACAATGATTTATTTGCTATTATCGGAATGATAAGATACAGCTTTTATAAAATCTAACCTACGTATTTGTTGGGATAGTAGTTTATCCATCATTTTCTCCAAAAATGCCAATTTAGCCTTAACAGTAGTATCTTTGATTTTTGCTGGTATATGTAAACTATTTATTTTGACATAAGTGTCGACTTGAAATTCTTTTAACTTTTCAATAAAAATAAAAATAGAAGGATGTGTTGAATAAAAAGAAGAATTAAATCTCGAATGAAAGAATTTACAGGCATTTGTGGTCCTCGCAATAGACGGATTCTGATTATATGACCATATGTGTGGTGGAAATAGAGCGCTATTGAAAATTTAATTTTCCAGTAAATAATCTGCATATATATCAAGTGTTGCGTTTATAGGTTTATACGACATTAAATCATAAAGAAAACATTCTTCAACTTCTGGATTTAAATAAGTTAAACCAAACGTATGCCTTAACCATTTTCCAATTTCTGAATTTGTATCCTTATATTCTTGTACCAAACCCAAAGATTGAATTTTTTAAAACCAGTTTTGGTGTAAGTGAAAACGGCATCCACTAATTTTTGCATTGGGCCACATATACAATAAAGCACAGTGAATTGCTTTTTCAAAGTCCACAAATATTTCAGTTGGCTCTAATGATAATTGAAATGTTTCAAAAATCTTAGACCTTAATAAAGAAAATAAATTTTTGTATGTCATTGACAATTTGTCCTTTAACAAACAGTATGCTAAAGGAACATAATGTCCATTTTCCAAGCCATGTATAGTAAATAATTGTAGAAAATATTTGGTACTGTATGAAAATGTACCATCCATATACAAAGTTTTTAATTTACACAACAAACGAATATTTGTCTCGCATGAAAATACAATTACATTTAATTCAGGATGATTTAAAAACAAAAAGCTTTCATTGCGACAGGTTTTAGGAGAATAATTACTAACCACGTTATGGACTTTTGATATGCTTCTTGGTAACGGACCTGGTAACAGTTTACGACGACAGTTGTAAATGTTCTTTCTTGTGCTAGCTATGTCAGGAACCGTCAGCAAATTGGCATCACACTCAGCAACAGCAGTTCTTGTAATTTTGGCAGGCTTTTCCGATATGTCCTCTTGGGCTTTTCTTTTACATGCATTGGTTACCATCTTTACTTCAAGCTTTTTTGGATCGGCTTCATGATTATGTACCAAATCACTTCTTGTAATGGTGAGGTCCTCACAGCCTATTGTAAACACTTTTGCGGAACACTTAGTATTTCTTTGGATGCAGCGCCAAAATATCTCGCTGCTTTTTAACACTTTCTGTTTCGAGAACGAATGATGCTCCTCCACTAATAAATCTCGACCACGGGAACTTTTTATCAAACTCATTTTTTAAATATCCGTATACGTGCACAAGTCAACGTCAAACAAGAAATAAATTACAACTGAAATAATTTAGTCACAAGTACACAAGTGCCACGCCCCCCGCCGTGACAATAATTTATTGGGAAAACCCGCTTATCCTGCTTGGGTGCAACTGTCCATCGCCGCTAATTACCTACCTACCTGCTTTACGCCGCGGTGTCGAAATTTTCTATAATAAAATTTGACCCTTCGATTACCCCAGGTACAAAGACAAGTTGGTGTCGAAAGTTCGTCCGCCGGTATGAAAATAACACATTTTGCCAATTTCCAATGTTCCAGTTTTGGTATTGAAGACAACAGTTTAGGTAATCAATCTTGTGCTGCCTGGTTAACTCGGGAATCCGTTATTGTCTACTGCTATATAGACCTTGGGCACGAAGTCTTTTTCTTATATTATTTGATAGAATTATAATCGAAGAATAACAAATTAAAAAGGAAAAGTTTTTTTAAAGAAAAGAAATATTAGTTTGAAAAAGTTTAGTTGTGTGTCGAATAAATAATTGGTAAATATAGATATATGATAGAAATCTTATGGTCTTGAGGTTTTTTCTTTTTACGATAATTTTTAAATAAGTTTGTTTAATGTTATAATATCATATTTTTATAATTTTTAGGGTAAACGTAGAACAGTGGAGAAGAAAACAAGCAGTTTTCTTAAATGAAACCTTAAATTCTTCAAACGTCGATACATTATTGGAATATAAAGACCAATCCACTGAAAGTCACTGGTCACACGTAATGGACCAAATTAGTCCTTTGCATATATACAGCTTCCTTGTAATTGCAACAGTTCTTCTGGCTGTTGCTAGATCCCTTGCATCATTTAGCTATTTTTTGACTGCTTCCACGAACGTCCATAATTCAATGTTTCGAAAAATTATTAGCTCACCAATGCTGTTTTTTAATATTAATCCATCTGGTAGGATTTTAAACAGATTTTCCAAGGATATTGGTATTTTAGATGAACTACTACCACTAGCAACTGCAGACTCAACCTGGGTAAGTTTTACTGTTAATATGTTAATATTGTGCTTTCATTGAGTAGATATAATCAAATAGTATTGATTTTGCATCAAATAACACAAAATTATTAATTGTTTATAAATAAAAAAAATTATTATATCCTTTTTTCTCCCATTCATTCATCTGTATAAGAATTTATATATAAGAATGTTTTTTTTAATTTTATATATATACATATATACATATATATATATTTATATATATATATATATATATATATATATATATATATATATATATATATATATATATATATATATAGTAAACTCTTAAATATTGGGGAAATCTGCAAGAAAGACTCCCGAACGTTTTCGACAAAGAGAATTAATTTGGCTCCTTCAGGGCTGAAAGATAATAAATTATAATTAGCTACCATATATTATCTATTAAAAAACATTATTGATCTTACCGTAACTTAGAATTGTAGAGTTGGAATGTTAAAAAGCTTAGCTAGTAACAACATAGTGGTGCTTTTTGTTACTATGTGCAAAAAAAGTTTTTTTAACGTTGGAATTGTATGGCAGCTTTGAACTTAAAATGCAAAGGTTTACCCAAGGTTACTCCAAAAACCCAATGTTATATCATTTAAAATCGGTAGTATATATCGCTTAGATTCTTAATGTCACTCTTAACATTGATGGAAAAATCGTTAAGGAAATATAAGACATTTCAATGAACTCTCTTTTAGATTTATTGTTCTCATGGTGGAAAATTGTAGTGTTAGTATAGTCCATGAGATGACCAGTGGAATGGACATGTTTGGCTAATGCACAGCGGTCAGGATGAAGTCGAGAATCACTTTTGTGTAGTGTAATACGTGATTATGAAAATGAGTTATGAATTTTCTGGTATTGTACATCATTCTTTTGTTATGTTTTCTACGCTCATCGATCAGTGTCAGAATCTCTTAAGTGATACATTTTTATTTCTTCTGGTGATCATTTCTACTTAAAGTTTCGTTTTAGGCATTTAATAGTATTTTTTACCATTGCGTATGTGGATTTAACATAAGAGCAAAAGAATTTAATATGACAATATAATCTCAAAAAACTAAAACAATAGTAATCAGCGAAGAATCAACCAGATGCAAAATGGAAATTAATGACATCAGTATTAAACAAGTAATGAAAATAAAATACCTTGGAATTATACTGTCATGATATGGAGACCTGGACAAAGAACTGAGAGATCAAGTACAAAAAGCAAATATACTGGCAGGATGCCTTAATGACACCTTATGGCGAAACAGACACATTTACACTGAGATGAAGTCAAGAATTTATAAAGTCAGTGTGAGACCAATAATTATTTATGCTTCAGAAACAAGACACGAGACTGCCACAATACAAAGGCTACTAAAAACGGCAGAGATGAGAGTACTGAGAAGAATTACAGGAAATACGCTGAGAAATCGAAAGAGAAGTGAAGACATTAGAAGAAAATCTAACGTACAGTGTATAAGTAAATGGACACAAAATAGAAAAAAAAGAATGGAATAACCACATAAGCAGAATGGAGGAGACCCGTGTCATCAAAATAGCAAGAGATACGTCACCAATTATAAGAAGTATCGAACAACTGCGCAAAAGATGGATTGACAACCTTCCATAGAGGTATTAATTCGCCAATGAACAAACAGAATTGCTTATAAAGGGGAAGAATAAGAAGAAGAAGTATGTGGATTCTTTTTATTTGAGATTTACTGAATTTGAAGTATGATTATTCTCTTGAAGTAGGGTACAAAATCCACTAAAGAGACGTTGGCTTTTTTATTAAGAAGAATTTATACTTAATGATAAACCAGTTAAAGTATTTTCTATCAGAGCCATCGGGTCTCACTTAGTCCTAATAGTTGGATATTTAGGCTATCCATCTCAGATATAACGTTTTCTAGTTTTTCTGGTTGAACTAGACTTCGATTGTTCCTTCCGCTTAAGGGTTGCCCCGGACTAACTGCCGTATGTTTAGGATTTCTAGTCATCTTGTTGTCTTGGTAAAACATATAGTATGGTAGTTTTTCGTTGTGTTACACGCCTCAGTACCACAGCCATTCAAACTGTCCTAGTCATAACTGTGGATTTCGAATAATAAGCCGGTTCAAGATAATTATTTGGCGCATCGTCTCCGTAGTGATGATCGCTGCTACCGTTTAACAGGGTTTTTAGGACTGGAATGGATATAAATTAAGAGATATTGTATATAGGAATATGAAACATGAGTTCCATGATATAAAATAGCATGAGGTGGATAGGTGGTAGTGTCGCTAGTCTCTGAAGTAGGTCTCTTTTCACCGGGATCGTGTAAAGTACCTTTCCGGTACCCTTTTATTACAAATAATATGCTAATATAATTTATATATATATATATATATATATATAGATATAAATATATATATATATATATATATATATATATATATATAATATATATATATATATATATATATATATATTTTAATTTAAAGACATATTCATATCTAAAATTTCTCATTGTAATTCATCAATATCTTTGTAGGTCGGCCTTACTGTAGTGGCTACAACAATAGTTATCAGTCTTTTGAATCCTTGGATATTGATACCCACAGCTGTTATTGTTTGTATCTTTTACAAAATTAAGCAAATATTTCTTGTATCCAGTAGAAATATTAAACGGATTGAAGCTGTCAGTAAGTATAAATTAATGAATCAAATACAAGCATAATTTTATTGTGAAAACTGACTAAGTCAAGTCTCCATCTTTTCTGATTAACTTGATTTCAATGTTTCATTTTTTTAAGGATTCATATTTGATTATTAAAGCAAAATAATTGTTTTCTTTTACTCGTAGATAATAAATAATAAACACTTAAATGGTGTCTATAAGCAAAAGTGATCATAGTTTAAATAAAATATCAGAAATTTAGAATTTAAGTAAAATTTATAATTAGATTATTTCTTTAATATTATTTATTGCACAATAACTACATCACATTGGTTGCTTTCTTTGTTGTTGTTTTTTTCATATTCTTGTTACATCCTTTTGTACTTCTATATACTAAGAAAATAATTTTTAAATTATATAAATCTTTTTTTTAAATTATTACGTTGGCAACATATTTAAAATATACCCCACTTTTAGCTACTTGTCACTGTAGGCTGGTTTTCATTGACATTGACGAGGTTTTTGTATTACTTTGTCCATTTTATTTAATTTTCATAGAAGCTTGCATAAGAGTTAGGGGTGGAGTTGCAAAAATCTTCTTCTTCTTCTTCAGCCTGTGTTCGTCCACTGCTGGACATAGGCCTCTTCCATTTGCTTCCATCGATTTCTACTTTTGGCAATTCTCATCCACTGCTTGCCCGCGACTTGTTTGATATCGTCTGTCCACCTCTTCTGCGGTCTGCCTACTCCTCGCCTGTTCTCTCCTGGTCTCCAGTTTGTTAATCTTTGTGTTCATTTTTCGGGATTATCTCGGGCAACGTGTCCGACCCATTGCCACTTGAGCCTTGCAATACGTTCTGAGACATCAGTAATTTTTGTTCTTTCACGAATGACGTTATTTCGAATTCTGTCTCTCAAACTACTCAAACTAATCCCTAGCATGGCCCTCTCCATTGCTCTTTGGGTTGTACTGAGCTGCTCTAAGGTTTTGTTTGTGAAGGCCATGGTCTCCAGTCCATATGTAGTTACAGGCAAGATACATTTGTTATAAACTCTACGTTTTAGACACATTGGTATATCTTTATTCCTCAAAATAAAGCTTAATTTGCCGAAAGCTCCCCAAGACAGTTGTATGCGTCTTTTTATTTCGGCTATTTGATTTTCTTTGCCGATTTTAATGGTATGTCCAAGATATATATAGTGGTCTACATTTTCAAGACTGACTTTGTCAATACCAAGATTAGTTTGTAAATTACTCATTATTTTTGTTTTCTGAAGGTTCATTTTGAGACCCATTTTATTTGACTGCTGGTTTAATTCCTTCAACATTTGCTCCAGTTCCTTGATATATGTACTAAATAATACTATGTCATCCGTAAACCTCAAATGACTCAAACTTACACCATCAATGTTTAGACCTTTTTCCTCCCAGTCAAGCTGTTTGAATACATTTTCCAATGCTAAGGTAAAAAGCTTTGGTGAAATAGTATCACCTTGTCTAATACCTTTATCAAGGCGCATTTTTTCAGTTTTTTCGTCTTCATTGATTTTGATGTGGAATGTGGCCTGTTCATAAATGTTTTTAATGAGTGTAGTGTACCGTGAGTCTATTCGAGCATCCTTCATGGCTGACAAAAAGGACCAAGTCTCAATACTATCGAAAGCCTTGTGAAAGTCAATAAATGCCTTATGTAAAGCTACATTATATTCTGTGGTTTTTTTCTACTAGTGTTCTGATGGTTTGTAAGTGCTCATTAGTACCAAACCCTTTTCTAAATCCCGGCTGTTCAACCGGTTGATATAAATCAAGTTTTTGTATTATGCGGTTGGTTATTATTCTTGTTAACAATTTGTATAAGTGTGACAACAAACTTATAGGTCTGTAGTTTTAAATATTAGTAGTCTCTCCTTTCTTGTGAAAAAGTATTATTTCGGCGTTTTCCCATAGGCTGGGTATTCTTTTTTCTGTTAGACACTTATTCAGTAAGACTTCCACAACTTCTACAACGATGTTGCCGCCCATTTTTAACATTTCAGACGTTATACGATCCTCGCCAGGAGCTTTTTGTTTTTCATTTGCTGTAAGGCATGTCTAATTTCCGAAGAGGTTATTTTAGGGAGGGTTTCCGAGCCGACGTTTTGATTTGTTCTGTGGTCTGTTTCGGGGTTCTGTATAGTAGATGTATAAAGATTCTTATAGAACGTTTGTATTTCCTTGATTATTTGAGTTTTTTCGGTCACCGTATTCTCCTGTTGATTTTTGATTTTAGTTATCTTTGATTTTCCTTTAGTTAAATTTGATTTCAATACTCTCATGTTTCTATTGTTTTCGATGGTTTGCAATATTTGTTTTGTTTTATAAGCCCGCAAGTCTGACCTTACGCTCTTTTTAACTTTATTGTTGATAGCTTTATACTCTGGTAATTCTTTCGATGTTCTTCTTCTTTCTTTCATTCAATTAAGTGTTGTTTGTTTCAGTTTCGTTTTTTTGGGTTGCACAAATATATAAAAACAATTTAAAAATTAGTCATTTTACATTTAAAATTTTTATGTTATTAATCTTAAAACAAGTAGTTTCAGTTTATTATTTCAAGAGTTTACCGTTTTCTTTAATTTGTATGTATTGGTGATTAAATTGCTTTAAAATAAATATTCTTTAACTTCGTATGTTGGTTTTCTTTTAAATTCGCTTGAAATATTACAAAATATCAGATGATTTCATATAACTTTTGTTTAATTTTCAGCTCGTAGTCCAATTTTTACCCATTTAGCTGCTTCCCTACAGGGACTTCCAACAATAAGAGCATTTGGAGCTGAGCAGATTCTAACTCAAGAGTTTGATAATTTTCAAGATGCTTACACATCTTCATATTTCATGTTCCTAACTGCAAGTAGAGGCTTTGGATTCTGGTTGGACTTACACTGTGCCTTTTATATTAGTCTGGTCGTCATCAGTATAGTTTTCTCTCAAAGTGGTAAGTTAGTACAGTGCGTTAAGTTTTGGATTAGGTATACACTCTATAAATGGCAACACTGCGCGCCGTCGACTTGCACTACATATCTGCTTCGTTGCTCGTCGCCCGTCGGCAAATTTGTCATATTGTCATTATACCGTGGTTGTTTAAAGGTATAACAGCGTAGAGTTTTAATTTATTTTTGTAAACATGTCTGTTTATATGGCCGCGGAAAAAGCTCAAATAATAAAATGGTTTTATAGTGGCAATTGTGCGCAACAGTGTGTAGATTTATTTTCTGTGTTTTTTGAGGGAAGACCAATTCCTTGTGTACAGTCAATTTATAATATTGTTAAAAATTTTGAGAGTTGTTATTGACTCAAAAATTGCAGAAAATGTCACGCTCAAGAAGTGTTACCAGAAAAAGTTGACGAAAGAGAATACCGGGATACACAAATTTGTGCAACAATCGAGGTAGATTCAACACGTTCAAGTAGAAGCGTTGCTAGAGAGTTAGATGTTAGCAATGTTACTGTAACGAAAGTATGGAAAAAGCACGGTTACAAGAATTTTAAATATTCGAAAACGCAGCAGCTTTATCCAGACGATTACTTTCGAAGAATGGAGTTTTGTGAAACTCTAATAACGAAGGCTAATAGTGAACCAAATTTTACTAAAAACATTTTATTCACTGATGAATCTTCTGTTTCGTTAGTAGGGAGACACAATCCTTCCATTATGAGGTATTTTGCGCGGGAAAACAAGCACAGAACTGTTGTTTACCAAACTCAACGTCCTCAAAAAGTTAACGTCTGGACTGGCATTTTAGGAGACCACACAATAGGTCCATTTTTTATTGAGGGCAACTTGAATAGTAGAGTATACCTCGATGTGTTACAGATTCATGTTCTTCCCGCTATTCTCAATCTTCCTGATGTAAATCTGGAGAATGTTTGGTTTCATCAAGACTGCTGTTCAGTTCACAAAGCTCGAATTATTAGGGAGTATTTAAACAATACTTTCCCGAATCGAGTTATCAGTGGAACAGGCGATATTAAGTGGCCTGCGCGATCTCCAGATCTTACACCCATGGACTTCTTTTTCTGGAGACATTTAAAAAGCATTATCTACGCTCATCCTGAGGCTAGAGCCCAAAATTTGGATGAATTAAAAAATCGAATAAGAGAAGTCTCCAATTCTGTCACAGCAGAAACTCTTCCATCTGTTCGCAGAAGTTTTTATGACAGATTGGGGTACTGTTTAGCCGTAGAAGGTCAACTATTTGAACCATTTCTGTAGGTCATAAAGAATTATTTTTTATTTTATTAGGAATAATATTTTAATTTTCAATAAGAGTATATTTTTTATTTTATCTTTTTAAAGAAATACGCTTTTATTTTTAATTCAACCACAAAAAAATTTTCACATTAATAAAAATCGATAACAATGCACTGATTAGGTCAGTGCATTTTTATCGAATTTCCTACTATTAAAATCGGCTGTACGTAATGAAACATAAGGTCGGACGACAGAGAAGTACACCCCAAACGTTGTTGTGAGTTACTAAACTAAAATAAATGATTTTCTGTCGGTGTAGATACTGAGATAGTCTCGGGTCGGAGAACGAACATTTGCAACGTTGCCGATTTTAGCGCTCCGTATAGTGTGCAATACCTAATCAAAAACTTAACGCACTGTATATGAGAGGTGCAGTATATTTTAACAATCGGTAACACTAGTGAAGAAAATAAATGTTATATTTGCTTAATAAGTATGTGATTAATAGTCCAATTTTACTACGATCTATTAAATTTATGTTTAATATTAACATCAGCAGGTATTTCTACCTCAGTGTTACCATATTTCAATTATAATGTATTTTCTTTGTATCGGATTTTTTGTGTTGACCTAATATCTTATTTTATTACAGATTCGCTGGGAGGGAATGTCGGTCTTTCACTGACTCAGGCAATCACATTGTCAGGAATGTTCCAATGGGTAATGCGAGAATGGAGCGAACTGGAAAACCAAATGACTTCAGTAGAAAGGACACAAGAATATACCGACCTACCCATAGAATCCGATAACGAGAGAAAACAGCCTCCAGTAGATTGGCCCAGTTTTGGAGGCCTAACGTTTAAAAATATGAGTTTAAGATACTCCTTGGAAGCTCCTTGTGTACTTAAAAATCTTAATTTCGAGATAAAACCTAGGGAAAAAATAGGCATCGTTGGAAGAACTGGTGCTGGAAAGTCATCTTTGATCCAAGCATTATTCAGACTGGCGATAAATGAAGGAAGCTTAGTCATAGATAATGTCGATATAAATACTGTTGAGCTGAAGGTGTTGAGGTCTAAGATATCTATCATTCCACAAGAACCTGTGCTTTTCTCAGGAACGCTTAGGAAAAACTTGGATCCATTTGATGATTACAGTGATAAAGTAAGTGCTTTTTTGTCTTAGAACAGTAAATTTACATATCTCCTTATCAGAATTTTTCGTCGTCCATTCATTTTCATCACCATTGAATTTATTCTTCTCACTGTTTATTTGCTGTATGCATTTGTTCCTTGCTCATTTTTCCATTAATTTTCTTGTATATAAATTTTTAACACTAACGAAAAGTTATTTCTATAACAATATGAGCTATTTTCATTGTTTCGTTGTTTTTATTTAGAAAGTTGAAAGCATTGTGCGAAGATACAGGTGTGTTTGTCCTTACACTCGTCCTGATGCCTTTATTTCGCGCACCAGTTATACGTCGTTTAAAGAACTACCCAGAAATCTGGGACAAATAAAAATTTTGCAAACAACGCAACGTTTCAACAAGTCTACTTAAAACAATAACAATTTTGTATGTACGCATTTTGTACACTGATAACTTGTTTAACGCAGAAGAATTCACGAAATATAGGCGTCTTGAATGTTGATGTGGCACTATGTGCAAAAGAACTAAAGAGAACTTGTAAGTGATGCGAATTGGCACGAGTTGAGTAAAATTAATAATAATCCGACTGGATTAAAATTTGTTAAATGCGGCTAGCGCGAACAGGTGCTTCAAGCTCACCAATGCTCGATTTTAATTTCATCCTCACCCTCTTGAACCTTGAAGTTTAGGATATCACTGTTTAAATTTCGCAACCTTCAACTGCTCTTTCATTGCTAAAAATGACCTGAGTCAGTTTATGGTCGACGGGAAAGGTTATTTTTGCATAACTAGAGGCATTAGATCACAGGCGAAAAACACCTTTTGGTGACTACCAAGTGACTTTGACTAGAATCATAGAATGGTACACGGTTCCATAATAATTCAAAAAGTGTGAATGAACGCAAGATGTTCAATAAGCCAATTGGCTGTAAGGCAACCGGTTTATAGTAGACGGCTTTCGAAAAAAGTCAACAATACTTAAATGTACTGTGGGCAGAGCTTTTATGTATTAAATTCACGGTCTACCATATCGTCTTCTAGTGGACTCCACAGTGACTTTCAGTTTAATTTAATTTTCCTGAATTTTCCCTTGTATAATTAACTGAAGTATGTTGTATCTTTAATTACCCATCTTGTTAAAAAACTGTGATGTTCAGTATTAAATTAAATATGACTTGAAGTCATATTTAATTTAATACTGAACATCACAGTTTTTTAACAACAAGATGTATAATCTTGTATAACTATATGTAATTTAAAGGGTTTTTACCCATGTATTTTTGGTGGCTCAGGCATTTTAACCTAGCGATTTTAAACCTGATGATGGACTGTTTAGTCCGAAAACGTTTGTTTTTTTGATGGAGCCCTTTTAAGGGTTTTTAAATAAATATACCCACTTACGAAGACTAACCTCTTTTTTTGTGATACGTGGTATACAGCCAGCTACAGGAATTGTTTTCCTTGTAAATTTTTTTATTATTTCTCCTTTGACCGATATCCTCGTGACCAAAACATTTAGTTCTTTTGGAACTTACTCATTGAATATTTATTTTTATAGGTACGAAATTTTTAATTTGCATTTTTGTGTTTAGGTACTTTGGGACGCCTTGGATGAGGTGGAATTGAAACACGCAGTGGAGGAGATGAGGCACAATCTATACGGCAAGATGGCGGAAGGAGGATCCAATTTCAGTGTGGGTCAACGGCAGCTACTTTGCTTAGCGAGAGCTATTATCAGAAACAACAAAATCTTAGTTCTAGACGAAGCAACTGCTAATGTTGATCCGATGACGGATGCTATTATTCAAAAGACTATTCGAGAAAAGTTTGCAGAGTGTACAGTGCTGACGATCGCTCACAGGCTAAACACTATTATGGACTCTAATAAAGTTTTAGTGATGAACGCCGGAGAAGCTGTCGAGTTCGATCATCCGTATACATTATTACAAAATAAAAAGTCTATATTTTATGACTTAGTTAGGAATACCGGTAAAAATATGGCTGCGCATTTAAGTGATATCGCGGAACAAAGTTATTTTAACATACAGAATAGTAGTAGTAGTTAATTTTGTAGATATATTTTTTTATAATTTTAATGTTATTTTATAAATACAGAATAAATATATATATATTTGTTTTAAAAAACGATTTTTTTCTACTTTTTGAATTATTTCCCATATCAATGCTGAAGGATCAATACGTCCCATCAAAAAATCGCTACTTTTCAAGAGAGCGAAAAAATTATTTTATAAATATATGCCCAACTTATAGTGAAAGGAAAAATCGAGGAAAAGAGAGGCCTAGGAAGGAAAAGACTATCGTGGCTCAGAAACATCCGACAATGGACAGGGCTAAATTTTGAACAGCTAATAAGAACAGCTGAAGGTAGAGAAGAGTTTAAAATTGTAGTAGTCAACCTCCATTAAGGAGAGGGCACTTTAAGAAAAAGAATACATAAGACATATTACAATTCATAATTGTATTTTAATTTTATACCTTTGCGTGTACAGCGGAGGATCATTTTCAAACTCAGGATACTTTTTAGATCTTTTTGATAATTTACTGAATTCTGAGATAGAATGATCTAGTTTTACCTTGATAACGCCCTGTAGATCATAACTGATAACACTGATATCTATAACTACCGGATCTTTTGCTACTATACCTGGTCGTATCGATGAATATGTCAGAGGGTTTGTATAATTTTTAAAGAAACTAATTATTGCATCATACGGAGATGGGTTTTCTGGCTTCTTTAGTAATACCAATGTAGTCTCTTGAAAGCTTAATTTCCCGGTTTTTAATTTTCGTTTAATACAGGCGTGCACTGAATCGACTACCATCTGGGTATGACCAACTTCCAAAAACTTTCGAATCATTAGTACATTATGCATTATACTAAAGTTTAGCAAAGCGTTGGACATAATATAATTTCTATTTTGCGCTAAACATCAGTCCGAATATATAATTATCAGTTTTCTATCATCAGTGAGACAGTATTTGGTAAGGTAGACTATAAGGCAAGAATGTAGAGGTTACCAGTTTATTGTTCTGGTCCTCAGAAAACTAGTACCAAAAATCGTGTTTTGTAGATACATTATATACTGTGATATTATGGCAGCACAATTTTGTTTCATAATAAAAAGCATTTGCCTGGATGAATGGTGCAAGTTTTACAGCCTGTACATCGAATTCCAGGGTGATTTGATTACCAAGTGCTGCTTTTGTATTTTGCAGCTCTAGCTTTATCCTTTTTGTCAATATTGTAACCTCGGAAATCTTTTTTGGGTGGTGCTAGAAAGATAACCAATGGAGACACTGCGGACGGCAGCCAGATGGTTGGTGGAGAGCGAGTCGTGGGTTCGAAACTAGCTTTTGGAACCGGGAATGGATCCAACGGAAGAAATAGGTAAAGATACGATAAGAGATATTAGAAAAGATACAGAAATAAATAAAAAGATAGATGGGTAAAATTACCAAAGATAAGAGAAGATAGAAACAGGGCGCCACTCAATTTTTTGGGGTTAAGGAGAAAATTAAGAAAGCCTTAGAAAAGAAAAGAGATAAGAAAAGATATTTAGGTTCAGAGATCAAACCCAAGGAAAGATACCAACAGTAAATTATCAAATAAATCTGGTCAACGCAATATATAAATAAATAATAAATATATTAAGTATTACACTTACTTACCTACGAAACTTAATCAGCCTGATCTTTCTACAGTTCAATAGCATAGTAATATTTAAAGATAGTAATTGTTCAGAGCTATTATTTTATCAGGGAACTTGTTAGGAGCCGACAAATAAGATACATGCATAAAAAAATAACAATATATTAAACACAAAATTATGATGCTGCTAAATGCAACACAGGTAATAAAAATACACAACTATGAAATGGTGTTATATATGTATAAAATGAAGCTATAATGTAATAAAAAAATACCTTTACCAAGATGTATAAGGCAATCATATACAAATATAGTTTGGCGTATCTCGAGATATCATAGGAAAGATAATGAACAAAAATTATAGGAAATACAATTGATAGCAAAAATTACTTAACTCTAAATTTCCAAAAAAAAGCAAAAAGGTTACAGGAATGAAAACATAAACCAAACCGCACTTGGTTAAGTCAATTAACTATCTGGCACTATTATTTAATAAAAAACTGAGACTTGTATGTTCATAGGTAATATTTATAGAAATTTCTTGAATGGTTCAATTACATTCAAAAATCGGCAATCTTCAGGTGAAGATATAGATGATACGTCCAGATAATGGCAGGTGTTATGGTACCATACCATATTACTCGCCCAGATAATTGTAGATAAAGATTACTTACGTAGATCTTGACGAAGGCAGCTTAATTCACTGAATTTAATACTTTTCTGGTACTAAACACTGAATTTAATAACCATTAAAGGTAGTGTAGAACTATATATAATTTAATATAGTCTAAGGAAAGAAAACTCAAATATAAAGTGTATACACACTTAGAAAATAATTCACAAAGACGATACGATAAGAAATAAAGTGAGCAAAGCGTAACACGAGATATTGGCCTGAACTCAACAACGGTTCACCAAAAAGTCTCACGAGATATTACCTCACTCAACAAGAGCCCACCGAGAAGTAAGTTGGTTCCACTAAAAATTTCACCAACTCTCCCTGAAAAAGGAAGAAGAAAATATTCCCCCACTCAAGAATGATAGGACAGTTGTATGTGTTTCTCAGAAGGTAAGGCCTTAACGACTATTGGAAACTTTGAGGTAAAATAATCGGTATTAACAATTGGACCTGAGAATATTAAAATCCTTAGGATTATATTATTGTCAAAAGATACGAAACTGCATACCGGAAAGCATTTGTTCTTTTCATACAGAGTATTAAGACGGAAGGATTAAAAACCATTCCTAATTAGGGAATTCCATTTTAGCTGGGTATCTACAATATTTTGCTATCGATACACGATCATAGGCGTATCGCACGGGGTAAAAGGAATTAGAAATATTTAATATATTAATAATAAAAAAAATGTTACAATATGATCTTGCCAAATATTTCCACTCCTGTAGCTTGCACAGGTATTACATTGTTCCTTTTTCGTGGGTAAAATTGAAATATTTTTCTTGACAATAATTGCAGTAAAAGTCATCCTGCTTAAACATCCAACTGTTTCTTGATCACACTTACTAAGGTAGAATTTATAGACATCCATTAACGTATGAAACGAAGGTTCAGATGCAATTTGAAGGACTATTGTCTAGCATAGTGTGAAGGAATTTTTGGGAGGGCATTTAAAAAATTGTGTAAAAACTCTATGTTGTCTAGTAGTTTCTGATCAGTTTTGTATTGTTTACCACCTGGAGCATTCTGGAATTTTAAAAGAACTTTGTTTAACTCATTATTGTACCATCCGTTACTTAATTCCAAGCGTGTCTAAAAACATTTGTCGGTAAACTTGTAACTGTTTTTGTCCATTATTTAAATGATACTGTAAAATATTGGTACGTCTGGAGTCATCTCAATGAACAGTATTTTTTATTTTATTAATATGCTTTACAAGTGCTGCCACAAAAGCATGTCTGCGTTCCCAAGTTATTTTAAAAAAATGCTCAAAGATTCTTGTTCTGACGTCTTCTGAAAACTCGGAACAATACCTGAATTTTAATTTTCTACACACTTCTTTGTCGGAGTGGGTTGCACGTGACGAGCATCTTTTTATTTCAACTGTTCATACTTTCCTGTTTGCCCTTTCGTGAATCCCAAATAAGATTTCTCTTCCATTCGTAGTTTCTTATTTTTGTTTCTTTTCCATTGTCTAGAGTCAGCAACCTTTCTTCTTTTACGCCCTTCATTCATATTATTATTATTCGGATCAAGATGTGCTTCAGAACCCTCTGTATAATTTTCATAAGATCCTTCAATATGGCTATTATAAACAGGATCGTATTCTGAACCATGATTGGACGAAGTTCTATTTACAAATATTTGATTATTCTTTAGATTTGTATTTAAAGTTGATGAAAGATATAAAACAAGAATTGCTTGCAAGAGTATTAGTGCCTAAGTGACAGTTTTTGCTAATTGATCGCTTGATGCTATATGTAACTGTCTTGCCATTTCAATATTTCTCCCCCCCCCCTTATGGATACATAGTAATCACTCTGTAAATAATTATTTATTATAAATCAAAAACCCTATCTATCTCTTTATAGCTATTCTTTAGAATTTTAACGGCAAACCCATACTAGAAGTATACTATTTGCTTCATACTATTTCTAATAACAACTTACCAATATCGTAAACAAAAATAAACGTTTTTCTATAGAACACTTCGACAATCATCAGCACGTGCTTTAGTTTGTGGAGAATAGACACTAAATGCTTAGATAGGATTATTTACTTGCAGACCTGTTGACGCTAGAGATAGTATAATTTGAAATTAGATGGTACGTCACGATGTTGCCTATTAAAGATATTATCCTTTTTAATAACTTGGCGCCAAAATCTAAATTTTGATGAAAAGGAAGATAGGACATATTGATCCTTCACCGTCGAGATACAAGCATTTTAAGGACTTGTGGTATTATCCCTAAAATATTATAATTCATACAAAGAATAAGTTGAAAAGAAAAAGTGTAACATAGTTTCGCATTGTGTTTATATAAAATATGTTTAATAATTTGAATCGAGGACATTCATAAATATACTCGAATTAGAATTTGTAAGGACCAGCACTATTGCCAATCAAGACATACGGTTGTCGTAGGTCGTCTTGACACACTAAGAAATAAACTGCTGATATATGCAAGGTCTATTATAAAAGAGACTTTATATAAGTACGAACTACGATTAGAATAATGTTATGTAAAAGTGTAGCCTCTATCCAAATTGGAGACAGTCCGACTGAAAAAATATCCATCAAACGTGGAGTACGGCAGGGTTGTCTTTTGTCACCCACTCTTTTTAATCTTCACTCTGATCTGTAATAGAACGTTGATAAGCCTAATGTGCCACCCTTTAAAGATTCTCTTTAAAATTGTTTAAAACCGAATTTACAAGAAATAGAGGAGAAGAGTGAGGAGCAGATAGATCAACGCAGTTTGGCTTCAGAGGAGGCATGGGTACAAGAGAGG